ATTGGTGGCTGTTAGCAAAGAGATTTATCCGGCAGCACGGAGGTTGATTAGTCGACCGCCTGCCACGTCCCAAGGACATCAAAGTAGTTGCCGAGGCAGCTTGACAGAATAACCAGAGACAGCAGCTATTTCAAGCTTTAAGGGATGAGGGGAGGGGCTCGTGGTTTCAAGGTACTGGCTGCTGCTGTGTTCCGCGCGATTGGGCGGTTGGCACCGGGCTGCCCAACAGCCGGAAAAAAATGTCTCCCCGAATAACTGACCGTGCGATTTTTCGCCTTGCAACTCACTAACCTCACAGAATACTTAAGGTGAGGAAAGTAAGCACCCTTTTTATTACCTCGTTAATATTAAAATCTTTGGCTGTAGTTTGGATTGCATGTGGGGCTGACGAAGATGGAAGAGACCGGGGCACGGGGAAAGAAAGCCCCTCCCTGTAATACGAATGACCTTGTGCCAAATTACTGACAGGTTAAGGTTGAGGTTAGAACTAGGGTTAAAGCAAAAATTTAGATTTAAGTTTGGGATAACAGCTTTGAATAGATGCCCTCCTTGGAATCTAACGTACGATCACTTGTATTGTGGGCCAGGGTTCCCTTTTCCGTGCCTTATGACCAATTCTGATCTAACAGTCGTCGTCAGCCTCACCCCCTGAGATGAATGTCCTCCCCTTGACGTATATTCTTCGCATCACGTTAAAGACGGTCTGGAATATGCAGGGCCACACAGGAATTCGTTGATTTATCTTACATAACGGAAGATGGGCAGACAAAATTACCGGCAAAAGCAGGGGAGACTGGAATGACAATTTCTGGCTCATCAGCCGTCGTCAGCCAGTCATATCCAATCTCAAGTGGTGTACCACCCGAGGCTCGAACCCATGTCGTTTTGTTCAAAAACCAAACGCTCCAACCATCGAGCCACAGACTCGTTGTCTTCTCGCTTTCAATAGGGTATAGTGATACTCGTTGGCGAACGCTCACAATCGCTAACGGAACTCACTATTCTCGTTGTGCCTAGGGGCTCATTCTCGAACCCCGTCAGCACCCGCACGGCGGCTAGTAGTTTAGCCATCTTCGTCTACAAAGCCATCTTTGTCAGCCGCAAGTTGCAATTGGCATGCGTCTACTTATCCCTTAAATCAGACGCATTGATAAATGCCCCTTTGTCAAGCACTACCTGCTTATGGTATGCATCTAGATGCAGATCTGTGCCTTCTTTTGCAACAAAACGCAGATCCCAGTGTTGCGCTCTAGCATGACGACGCGCCGGCTCTACATAGCTAAGTCGCGATGTCAGCGCATTAATGTATCCGGAGCCTCACAGGAGCCTGCGCGCGTGAGTTATCTGCTCTTGGGATCAGTGTATCCTTTTCTTCGGACAAAGTGAAATAAACCCTGTATTCGGCTTTAGCAAAACGCGCAGTTTTTGATTGGAATATACTAATATTTGGGAGGTTTGCTACCGCTCCAGACTCCTACGAGCGCGCCTGGCCTTGAAGACTTTGCTGCAACTTCTGCCGCTCAACGTTCTGTCGAAATCGTGCGCGTCCCATAAAAACCCCTATGTGGACCAGCTGGTAATCCCCTTTCCGAGGTGAAACTGCGCCCGGACGCGACGCATTCTGTACTTTAGTCAACCATTTTAATAATTGATGGGCCCGAGAGCAACGTTACTCAATCTTATTCGAGTTTAGATTGTTGGAGCGTGTCCGCGTCGTCGGTCACTTCTCGGTTGAGTCACAAGGCTGGGAGTCCGGGATGTGCGTTAGTACGGCAAGCTTTAAACAACCCGCTTGGGTGGATCCATCCACTCACCCACACAGGCCGCGAAACTCCACACGCCTGGCCAGAAGTCTTTTTGGCAGCGCTCGTATCCCGGACCCATTTGCACTGTTTCTCAGCTTTTCGCAGGCCTCATTACCAACCCTTTACCATCAAGTCCATATAATTTGCGCGGCGGGTTTCAAGCCTGAAAATGAGCAACTTGCTCGTATGTCCCCGATCTTCAAAGAAATGTAACTGAAATTGCTAGGAACTGTTAGAGACCAATTGGGTGAGGTTGGGTAGTCATTTCACTTAGATTACAAGTTTCACCTTCGTGCGGACTGACTGCATATTTTCGCTAAACGGTTCGTTTGCTGACTCTGCCTCAACCACCCTTGTTACTTTTCAGATGTGTACAAATTCTACCTTTCTAATTTAAATTAAAGTGATTCCCAGTGGTTCACTCCCTGCAACAAAACACTGTGCAGATGAACTCGGTATATTTCAATTTTTCTGCTAATCTGTCTGTCATTTTTTGCGGGATGGTAAGGGGTTCACTGTCTCGCTTTCACTGCAATGTCTTCTTGGCTGTTTTTTTTGCCGCAGTTCATTTCCTTCTTTTTCTTCGACAGGTATCGCACACGCAGTCGTCCCCTCAGGTTCCTACCCAAATTTGGTGTTTTCACCTATCGCTGAGGACGAATGCCAAGCGGGAGTTGTTTGCTTCAGTGTCGCGACCTCTGCCATGTGTGTATACTCCCTTAGCTGAAATTTAATAAATGCAATTTTACAGCAAGCCATCTCTTTTGACCACCTATCGAATATGCTGATGGTTGCAACTGTGACGAATAAGGTAGGGTTTATTTATGTAGCATTGACCCCGATCTCCTAGTTGATCTCCCATACGTCATGATATGTTAATCATTGCCAGTGACAATGCCCATCGCTACTCCACTGAGAGTCAGGCTGCAATGGCTCCTTCTTAAAGCGGCCTTTAGGGTACTTCCAGTCCGCGGGATCCGAGCCACGTGTGGCGACACGATTAGGAGCGACTGTGATGGCCACCTGCGCCCTCTCTCGCCTCGACTCCTTTTGACTTATTCATGACAGTGGGCCCAGGTTGGGGAGGATGAGGGAGTGCAGTAGATGCAACTTAAAGCTGATGCACGTGTAAGTAGCTGCGTTTGCTTTCAGATTGCTGAAGGACGCGGTAGGCATAGTCGAAATCGACGGTCGAATTGTCATAGGTTGGCGTGGAAGCGGTTTGCGTGTGAATCTGTCCATAGGGAAGCTAGCATGCGCTGCGTCTAAGTAGTTGACATAAGCAGAATCTATTTCACTATCTCCCTATTGCACCCAAGCTCGCAGTCAAGGCAGTCAGAAAGACTGGTGGCAAGATCGGGCAAAGTGGCTGACGGCCAAACAGCCGGCTTATGCTTGCCACACATCTGATCCTCTCACAATGGAAGAGCATGTCACGCAAGTTAGAAAAGGTGGGCTTGGAGTCTGACTGGCTGGAAGTGTTCTAGAGACCGAGTCAGAAAGGAGCCATTGCAGCCTGATTCTCCGCGCTGAGAGGATAACCGAGTTTTACCGTTAGTTGGCAGCCTTCCAAGCCACATTCTTAAGCGCACCGTGATTTATCCAAGTTAGTTAAATTGTTTAAAATGAGGGATAGCCACTGAGAGTCGACTTCATTCCTTTTTCCATCTCTCGAAACCAATCCAGTTTCCGAGCCAGTGTTCCAACTGAGGCCTGGATTGAGCGCAGCGGCTGATAAAACTAGATAGCCCATCTGCGCAAGTCACAAAACCAGATTTTTATACCCAAGAAACGGGCTGCTAGGATCTCGCATGCATTAAAGTGCCCTAGATGTCACATGGATAAGGAGCCAAACGTGGGCCTTACCACTTGCCTACTTGTGTTTTGTATTGGTGGGCATGTTCACGTGCGTTGCATGTGTCTGTGAGGAGAGATGTGGTTCGACCGGCAGTCACGGAGCTGCATGTGCGATCGCTGAATGTACTTATTTATTACGATCAGTTAGGGCAAGTGCGATGGGCATATGTTGGTATCCCTGTTACTGGTTTGTCAGTCTTTGTGCGATGGATCCACAAAAGACCGACCAGACCGTTACGTGATGTGGAGGTGTGGTCGTAACGAGGACACGTTGAGATCGAGTTCGAGGAGCAACCATCGTAGGCCGAGGGAACTTAAAAACCGAAAGGCTGAGGCATGCTACTCAGATGCCAACTCCCTCAACAGACATCTAGACCTCTCCGCGGCCTACAAAGTCTTGATGACCGCGGACAATGGATTGGCCTATAGCCACTATAATTACCCTCCCTTTGGTTGCTACTTCTTATCTGTGAAGATGAACTCCTGTAAGAGTTCGAAAGCCCAGGGTAATAAACCAGTTGATCCGGTGGTCGACATGTCTTCTTCCTTATCCACGAGTTCACATTGCTAGTAGTGATGGCTGACGGGGCGTCGGGAGTGTTTTCGACGATAGTGGAACTGGGCGAGTTGATAGGCATCGTCGCAGGAGTTATGGCAGGCATGATGGAAGTGCTGTTGGCCGTTGTCGGTGGCGGCAGCGATCGGGCATCAGGAGTGTTATCACAGTGACATAAGTAAAGACTTGCCACTGCGATCTTCAGGCACGGTTCCCTGTAAGCAGAGATGTGGGCCGCCAGGTTAAAGGAATAGTATATTCTGCACAGAGGTAGTGGAGAATAGATTGGAGGAAGTTGACAGTCGGACGAGTGCACGACAGTCTGCGAGGGCGGAGTCAGAAATGCTTAGAGCACGGCGGTCGTCACAGTGAGGGCCTGTGTGAGTCAGCCTTGAAGGTGATTGGTCAGACCGGACTGGGGCCGGCAGACACTTGTGTGCGGATGCTAACAGTCGCGAAAGGTTGAGCGTTGCACGCAGGCATGGATCACTACAGTTTGGCCATCAGTTTACGACGTATAGTTTGTAGTTGTTCTTTGAAGTACTGAAGGAGTTTGTAATATATATTCATTGGAAGGGGGCTCGTCAGGTCAAGTCTTCATTTAATTTAATTCCTGTCACCTATAGCGGAGAATGGTTGATGTTAATATCTTCGGATATAGCGATTCTTAGGTGCGACATTTCCACTATCAACCAGACTGTGAGGGTGTCGGTTATTTATTTAGTTTTGCCATAGTCTACCATATGGCTTCTGCACTTTTCAGTGTCGAACCAGTGATGCTATGAGCGCGTACAGGAAGAATGCTGAATGCTGTTCTCAAAGCACGGCTTCTCAGGGCTGGTCGCCGAATTCACAGGAAAGTTTGCCTGTCCATATTCTCGCGTAAATACTGAATAGAACTAAGCCAACAAACGCACGTCCTCTTCAGTGGTTTTCCAACAACCGTTGAACGAAGTTAGTTTTTGTGGTGTAGGGGAGCGGGGTAGAAAACGGGAAGCGGAATTTGTCAGGGATGACTTATATGACCCCTAGACAGAAATGAAAAAAAGCAACCGTCTGCAGTACATCAAATTCCGGGGGAAATGGGGGTAGAGTTATGTTTAAGCTTAGTGCTATGGTAAGTTAGGGTCAGTGCTTATTTTTAGGATTAGGGCTAAGATTGGAACTAAGGTTTAGGTTTATCATATGGATAATTTTGGGCTTAGGACATCAGAAAAGTGCCAGCAGGGCATCCTATCTGGTATTTATGCGTCCTACGCTCGAATAAATGCTGTCTCCCAGCAAACCCAGCTTGCATCCCAAGATCAAATTTCCCATGGAACAGGAACGGGAGAACCAGCTTTCTTTCCTCGATGTTCACATGTAAAGAAAGAAAGCTGGCTCCATCACACGAACTGTCTACCATAAGAATACGTGGAAAGGACAGTACTTGCATTATTTGAGTTTTGGGCCCATTCAGTGGC